TTTGCTATAGGGCGCATGTGCTCGCCAGACAGACAGAGAGAGACATAGAGACAGAAAGCAAGAAATCGCCCCCAAGGGGGGATGGTCACGCTGCAATCCCTTCTCCTCCATTCTCCTCTCGGGATCTTGGGCACGCACACACACGCGCCCGACGTGAGTTCTAAGCCACCGGGTCCGGGATGCGAACCGCGGTCGATTACGTGGGAATCCAGCGACATAGTCATTACGCTAACTGCTGGTTCCCCAATGTAAAAAAATTTTAAGAGCTTTTTTTTCTTATCACATAATGCTCTGATATTATCTTGACAACAGATGTGTTTGGGCACAAACAAAATAATTACCTTTGCATGTGAAGATGCTGTAAAAAAATGAGTCCTATATTGGAGAGACAGTCAGACCTCTAGAGCTTCTTCCATCTCTAAAGTCTATGAAATTTTAGCATTTGTTCTATTTTTTTTAAGCATCTGTTTCCTGACTTTGCCACTCTTGTCTTTACATTAACCCAATTAATTATGAGTTTTCTTATTTTTTAGTATCTGACCAAAAGGATACCACAGAACCCAAGATATCAGCATATCAAGTCAAGACTGGACACTGGTGAGTAAAGATTAGAAAATTAGAACTTTTTGCTTTTAATCCTATAGCTAATTATTGACAGGAAGCAACTCATCATATACCTGCTATAAATCACAACTGAAAGTATCTCATTATCTTGCCTGATGTCTTTCTGGGTTTGGGATTTATTTCTGAAAGCTGATTTTCAGATTAGTAGTAAAAATATGCATTCACATAATTTAGCTTATTTTTCCTTACCACATAAGAAATAATATAAATTGAGAAAATGAAATTTCAGAAATTGAAATTATAGTTCCATAAGTTATAGGGCTGAAGTTAAATAAATATCAGGAGGTTGATCTCTATTTTGGAACCCTTGATTATATTCCTTTAAATTGATTTTATCAGATTATACATATGTATGTTTGTTCAATTCAGTGTTTACAGTGTGCCGGCCACTTGCAAAGATATAGACCATGGGAAATAGAAAGATGAGTGTCAGTTGTGTTTTTTGCAGTCAAAGAGTTTAGACTCAAGTGGAGGCAGACAGTTGCATGAGTAACTAAAACACCAACAATATGTAATGAGTGCTGTAGTTCAGGTAAAATGAAATTTAAGGGTATGTAGCTACTTTTTTCCATGCTCCTCCCATTTTTCAGTGTTGTATTACAGATTGCTGCCCAGACCCTCGTGGATTTACAGTCTTGTGAGACTGTGGTTGTTTATTAATTTTTTTCCAGCCTTTTAAGTCCTGTCATGGAAAATTCATCTGATTAAGATGGTTTGACTAGTGACAAACTTTTATGCTTTTAGCAATACTGAAATTTCCATCATAGCTTCATGACAATGAAGAAAAGTAAACTGGGATATTGACTTTGTTTAAATCATCTCATCTGTTTTGTCTACTCCAGTTTATTTTCTCCCTTTCGCAAGTTTCCTTTAAAATCATTATCTTCCATTATGCATGTTTTCTCATATAAAATAGATTTACATGAAACGTTTTAAATGCATCACATTTGCAGATACTATTTCTTGCTACCTTTCTTTCAAACATTTCCATACCATGCAGATATTATTCTTGCAAATATCCTGTTTGATGGGCAGGTGAAAAATATTATCTCTACTTTAACAGTGGAGGAAATTGTGGCACAGAGACTTTGTAATTTGCTTGGAGTTCAATAAAGTAGACAGAACTAGGATTATATGCAGGATCAGGCAGCCAATACTGGAGATCTGGTGTCAAGTCTAGTGTGCTGTCTCTTAGGCCATAATGCCCCTGTGTTTCCCCCAGCCTGCTCCTTCTATTACAGATACCCTTAACTCCCCCATCTCTGTCCAACTTCCCTTTAACTGCAGCAGTGGCACACCCTTTTGAAACAAGTGATTATATGAAGTAAGCATTTCAATTTAAAATGCTGTGTTGTTTCTGAGAAATCCAGACATGACTTTTTAAAAAGAATTATTTTATTTAACTTTATTTATTATCATTATTAATGTTAAATATGACCAAAGAAAAACAGACAGAGAGAGGGAAAGTGAAAGTGAGAAAGCAAGCCACGAAGTCTGGGACTCAAACTGCAATTGATCACATGAGAGTCCAGCACCCTTAACCACCATGCCACCTGCTGACCCTGAAATTCAGACATTATTTTAAAGATGACTATAAACAAAGAATTTCTTTTGGAGCCTTTATACCTCCTTAAAATTAAAATTTTTAAGAGTCAAAGATTAATTCAGATATATTTATAGTTTTTTTTTTTTCCTCCTGGAAATGGAATTGAAATTTGTGACTGACATCCCCATTTTCCTTTTTTTTTAATTTTTATTTTTTTAGAGATTTTTGCTATAGGGCCTGTTCACTTGCTGGAGAGACAGAAAGTGAGAAATCATTTGGGCAGGATGGCCACACTACAGTCCTTCTCCTCTATTCTCCTGGGATCTTGGGCACACATGAGCATGTGCCTGGCATGAGTTTTAAGCCACCAGGTTTGGGACTCAAACCATGATCAGCCATGTGGGAGTCCAACGACATAACTACTACACCATCTGCTGGCCCCCATTCTTTCTGTTCATTTAGTAAACAAAATTTGACACAATAATGGTGCCTGATTTCAGGTTTTTTTTATATGGAAGTACTTATATCTGCATTTATAATATGTCTGAAATACCTATATCCTTTCATATCCTGAGATTTTAAAACATTTTTTGTTAACCAAATTTTTTTTATTTTCCAGTAATTGTAAATGCATATTCATTTTGTATGAAATAATACAGAGGAAGTCCATGTACTCTTTATCCTATAATGGTAACATCTTAACAAAACTTTCACAACTGTGACATTGACAATCATACATATCTAGTCAAGATACAGATCATTTCTATCACCACAAGGATTCCACGTCTACTTTTCACTCCCATCCCTTCCTTAACCTCTGACAATGACTAATCTGTTCTCTATTTTTATCATGTAGCATACAACCTTTTGGATTGTTTGGATTGGCTTTATTCACTCAGCACAATTCTTGCTTGGAGACTCATCCAGGTTGTGAGACATATCAGCAGTTTGTTCCTTTTTATTACTGGCTTATTTTCCAGGGTGTAGATGTACCACAGTGTAACCATTTACCTTCTGAAGGACATCTGTGTTGTTTCCACTTTTTGCCTATTACAAATAAAGGTACTATTAATATTTATGGGTAAAGTTTTGTTTGAACACAAGTCTTCATTTTTCTGGGATAAATGTCCAGAAGTACAATTGCTCGTCATACGATAGTTGCCTGTCTAGATTTTTGTTGTTGTTGCTATTTTTGACCTTTTTTTCCTTTAATTCCTGGAGAACACATGTGCTTGCCAGAGAAAGAGAGGTAGAAAGCACCACCCGGTGGGGTATTGTCATGCCACAATCATTTCTCCTCCAGTCTGGCAGGATTTGGAGCATGCACACACATCCACCCAGCATGTTTTTCAAGCCACGTGGGCCAGGATTCAAACCATAGTCAGCCATGTGGGATCTGGCTCTCAATACACAGCACTTAACAACTGCATTAGGGGGCCACCCTTGCCTGTCTAGTTTTTTCAGGAAATTGCCAAACTCTTTTCCAAGGTGGCTATACCATTTTACATTCCCATCAGCAATAGATGAACAATATATTTTCTTCACATCCTCACCAATATTTGGTATTGTCACTATTTTTCATAGCCATTCTGTTAGGTTCATAGTAGCAAATCATGTCATTTCCCTAATGACTAATAACGAACATTTTGTCATGTACTTACTATTTTCCATACATCTTCTGCAATGAAATGTCAGTTCATGTTTTTTTTGCCTATGTTCTGACTGGGCTTTTTGCTTTTATTACTGTTGAATTTTGGGAGTTCCTTACATATTCTAGCTACTAGTCCTTCGTCAAATATGTGGTTTGCGAATATTTTTCCCTAGACTGTAACTTATCTTTTCATCCTCCTAACAGGGTTCCCAAGAAACAAGTTCTAAAAATTATAACAAGGTCCAGTTTTCTCTTTGAGGGGTCATAACTTTGTTGTCAAGATGAAGAACTCTTTGCCTAGTCTAGATCCTAATGATTTTTTCTATCATGATTTTTTTCTTAAAGTATTATAGTTTTAGATTGTACATTTAAGTTCACGTTACATTATGAGAAAATTTTCATGTGAAGTATGTGACTTAGATCAAGATGAACTTTTTACTTAAGTCTAGCACCATTGGTTAAAAAGGTTGCTTTTCCTCCATTGAACTGTACATTTATGTTTGTCAAAAGTCAATTGAAGGGCTGGCAGGTGACATGGTGGTTAAAGGTGCTGATCAACTGCAGTTCAAGTCCCAGATCTGGCAGCTTGCTTTCTCACTTTCTCTCTCTCTCTCTCTCTCTCTCTCTCTCTCTCTCTCTCTGTCCCTTTATCATGAAATTAAAATAAAAAACAAATAAATAAAGTTAAATAAAATAACTCTTTAAAAAACAGTCAGTTGGGCATATTTGTATGTGTGTATCTCTGGGTTCTCTATTCTATTCCCTTGATCTGTGTGTCTATTCCTCTGCTAGTATCCTGGCTAGTTTTGATTACTATAGCTATACTGTGAATTGGATACTTAAAGATGGTTGGACTAATTATTTCCTTTTCTTATTTACAGAATTATTTTAGCTGTTATAATTCCTTTGTCTTTCTATATAAATTTTAGAAAAAAATCTAATTTATATTTACCAAAAAATTGCTGTGATTTTGATAGGAGTTGCAATAAGCCTACTTATTAACTTGAGAATTGACAGCTTTACTCTGTTGAGTCTTTCAATTCATGAATACAATATGGTTCTCCATTTACTTAGATTTTTTTTTTCAGAATTAGTTTTCAACATATAAAACCTATACATATTTTGTTGGATTTATACATAAGTGTTTTTCTGAGAAATTATAAGTAGTATTGTATTTTTAATTTTGGTGTCTATGTGCACATTAGTATTGGGTCGTTGGGAAAGTCATGACACATTTTTGCATAGAAAGACATAGAATAGTATGTCATGACTTTTCAAATGACCTAGTATTTAGAAATACTTATTTTTGTATATTTATCTTGTATCCTTCAACCTTGCTGAATTCACTTTTTAGGTATAGGTTTTTTTGTTTTGGTACATTTCTTGGGGCTTATGTCATGTTCCACAAAAAGAAACAACTTTATTTCTTCCTTTCCAGTCTGTATGCTTTTATTTCCTTTTTATTGCCTTATTGAATTGGCTAGAACTTCCAGAACCCTGTCAAATAAGAGTGGTAAGAGTGAATATCCTTGCCTTACTCCTGACCTTAGGAAGAATAATTTATTCTCTCAGCATTAAGCCTGTTAATGTTAATAGTAGGTTTTTTATAGATGTTCATTGTCAGATTTAGGAAGTTTCCTTCTGTTATTACTTTTCTGAGAGTATCTATCATGAATAACTATTGAATTTTATCAAATGCTTTTTTTGCATCAATTTATATAAACCATATATATATGTATATGTATCATGATCAAGTGGAATTTATTTCATGGATGA